TTCCCAGCCCCAAGTCCATGAGACTCTTATCTCCAATAAACCACCAGAAAACTGGAAGTGGTGCTGTGGCTCAAGTGGTAGAGTGCTAGCCTTGAGCTGAAGAGTTGAGGGACAGTGCCCAGTCCCCAAAGTTCAAGCCCACACTGACAAAAAAAAAAAAAAGTCTCACAGACTTTCCTGCTCAAGCTGGTCACTGTGATCCTCAGATTTCAGCCTCCTGAGTAGCTAGGATTATGGATGTAAGCCACCAGCACCCAGGTAGCTGTCGGTCTTTAAATGATAAATATTATGTGAATTTATGTCAGTTTGAAAACAAGATTTGTATTGGCTCATATTAATTGTATAAAGGTGTTTCATTGTGAGATGTCTTAACAGGCTTCTAATGTGTTTTGGCCAAATTCATCCCATCAATCAGTCTTCCCTTTTCCCCACCTTTTGTAGAAAAAAAAAGTTTTTAATAAATTTTTTACATTATTGGGGGCTGGGAAGGTGGCTCAGTGGTAGAGTGCTTGCCTTGCATGCATGAGGCCCTGGGTTCGATTTCTCAGCACCACTAAGAAAGTGGTGCTGTGGCTCAAGTGGTAGAACACTAGCTTTGAGCTGAAGAGCTGAGGGACAGTGCCTAGGCCCAGAGTTCAGGTCCCACGACTGGACCCCCCCAAAAAAAATTTACATTATTCTGTTTTCATAACATACATTTAAAGTGTGTCAATCGTGTTCACCTCATCACTCTCACCTTTCAAAAGGTGACTTTTAAATTTTATATTTCTAGCCAAGTGTTAGTGGCTCATGCCTGTAATCCTAGCTACTCTGGAGGCTGAGATGTAAAGAAATTAGCAAAAAGGTGGAAGTGGAGTTGGAACACAAGCTGGCAGATTGCCAGCCTTGAGTTTGAAAAACCTAAGGGAAAGCAATCAGGCACTGAATTCATGCCCCAGTACTGACACACACAAACACACAAAAAATATTGAAGTTTTCTAATAACAATTCTACTTTGTTTATACCTTATCTTGACTTAGGATTTGAACAGGCATCATGTTAGACTAGACTACTAGTTAGACTAGACTACTTATTCAGTCATGTATTTCCTGTTTCTTCAGTCCCTGCCCCCCACCCCTCTTAGTTTGTAGCATTGGGTTTGAACTCAGGGCCTTGAGCATGATAGGCTACTGCAACCATGGAGCCAGGCCCCCAGCCTTTATTTCTCTAATTCTCTACATGTCATATTTATCTTTATAAAGCTTGGCTATAAGAAAACATGAATGTTATCCTCTATGTCTCATCTCTCTTCCTTTTAGGCAACTAATTTGATAGCACATATTGATGACTCTATTACAGTCATCCTTCTCAATGGCTTCCACAGAGAGTGATTCTGACGAGTTGCCAACATTTTCCTTTCTGAAAAAAGTACCACCTTTAACAAAGAGGAGTCAGACTGACAGAGTGGAGAAGATTGTAGTGGTTGAGACTTCAGATTCTGAGGCGTCTCCTCCTCCATCACCAGAGTTGAAAGATCTACCACGTTTCCCAGACACAAATGAAACATTCACACAAACAAAGCCAATCAGAGTGCTAAGCAGTGGAAGTGAGGATGAAGAGGAAATTATGCCTCTGGCAGAAAGACTAACCTGTAAATTTTTGGCATACAAGCAGTCAAGCACTGAGGACTCCAGCTTCCCAATTAAAACTGTTTTGGATCAACAAAATGACCAGAAAAAGCAGTCATTTCTAAAGATCCCTGATGTTCCTCTCCATAATACCTCAAAGAGAGCAACGGATAACCAAGACCCTATTTTAGACAGTCCACGTCATCAGCTCCTAGGCTACCAATCTACCTGTCTTGTCCAGAGCAACAGGTTGGCAGAAACCGAAATGAATTCTGACACCTTCCCACCTCAAAAGAGAACCAAGAATAGTCAGAAGATTCAGAAAAGAGGGTCTCAGAGATGCCAGCCACAGAAACAAGCAAGCTGCAAAGAAAGCACCCTGAGACAACCAGAAAGAAAGAACGCAGCACCAGCTGACAAGCTGAAAGCTTTGAGGCCAGAGGAATGCTTGAAACACATCATTGTGGTGCTGGATCCAGGTCCTTCTAATATCTGTCTCCACCCTGAGCTGAGCTCTCTGCTTCCTGGACCTCTCCACTGACAGGCCCTTTCCCATCTGTTTCAGTGCTTTTACAGATGGAAGGTGGGGGCCAGCTCCTCGGAGCGCTGCAGTCCATGGAGTGCTGCTGTGTGATTGAATCCCAGGCTGTGCCTTGCAGTATCACATGGCGGAGAAGGGCAGGGCTGTCTCAGGTAGGGGTCATAGTTCTAGCCAATAGTTCTCCCCTGACTCTTTAGAGCTACAGGATAGACTTTTATTTTAAAGAATATGTATGTAAATTTGGGGCTGCATCAGGAAAACAGATGGTACTTTGGATAATTTGAGGAGGATCTAATAAAGGGACTGTTTTTCAAAGCGTGGGTAGGGTACAAGGGACAGCACAGTAGCTGCATCTTGATAGCATAAGTGAGGGCTTTTCTAACTCAGTACTGGTGAGATTTCAGATCAGGCAATTCTTTGTTAGGAGCTAGTGGGACTGGGGGGTAGAGACCGTCCTATGCACAGTAGAATATTTTAGCAGCATCTGTGGTTTTCACCCATTAGATGCTAATAGTGCCCCTCCCAGGTGTGACAAATATGTCCTTTATGGGGGGAAAATGGTCTTCGGTTAAGACCCACCTGCAAAGCTGTTAATCCCTAAGAGATGAAGGGAGGAAGTACTTAGCAGAATCTAGAAGAACTAGAGAGGACCACTTTCAGAGAAGCTTTGACCTAGGGTAGGGCAGTGTAGCAAATGTACAGTAACCCCATTGGGAAGGGATTTCACTCTCCGCTTTCCCTCCAGTCTCATACTCAGCTTTATGGCCTGGAAGTGGAGGACATGAGGGCTGTGTAGGTAGCAATTGCCTCCTTGCACCGAGTAGGTCAGAGGAAGATAATCCATCTGTGTCTGATGACTAGTTCTCTGGCTGGGCTTTAGGAATTGGGGGCTGTGTTTGGATTCCAGCCTCATGGCTTTATTGTGGCAACTCCAGGCAAGTCATCACGTGTCTTGGTGTCTGTTTCCTTGTGTGAGACAGTGTTCTATCCCTGTCAGTCTAGTCCCTGTAGTGGGGTCCAGCACCTAGTAAGCGCATGGAACCTGTTCCTTCCCTACCCTGCCCAGCCTTCCCAGGCTAGTGCACTTCCAGTACCTATCCAGTATCTATCTGTGACTCCAAGTTCTCTTTATTTTCAGTTAGGATAAGAAACATTAAGATGTTTTTCTCCCCTCCCCCCTCTAGTGGGAGGAGGGATCTCATAACTTTTTCAGTATGACGCTTTTCCACATTTACATCAGGTGTTAGCAAACTTTGTATTCACAGTACTGTTTATCCTCCCAAAGCATCACCACAATCTCTTGCTTCAGCTGTGGTTATCCTGAAGGAGGAATTCCCCACAAGTCACAGGTGGAGAAATAGGTGCAGAGACCTTAACAGCCTGGTTCAGGATCACAGCTGAAACTAGAACCAGAACTCCCAGTATACTTTGCTGTATTGGGAATCTTGCTCTTGCTTGTAGGGACCAAATCAGAAAACTGGAAGAAGTCCTGCTTCCCAATCACTATGAAATTGTGCTGCTGTAGGATCTTTGGCCCAGAAGCAGCCTAGGCTTTGCATTCTAGCTCTGATGAAGAAAGAGAAGGTGCTCTCACAGATGGAGGTTTCTCCTGGGATTCTTCTTTCTCAAAGGTTTCTATATATTTGTAAGGTCCACCCAGATCTTAGCATCTGAATTAAGAGCCAGAGTTATTTGTTCCCTCCATTCTTCTACTCAAAATGCATAGAACAACTATAGCCAGAATACTCAATGTACATAGGTGATAAAGTGGGAAATGTGAAATGAGTCTGAGGAGAATGGTGGAAGGGATGACTGATCAAGAAGCATTGGACACTTGGATGAACATGCTAAATTGTGGCAACCCCCCACCCCCACACCCTTATACAACCCTTTGAAGCTCAGAGGCTTTTTCTTTCTTTTTTTTTTTTTTTCAATGCATAGAAAATAGGCTGGGGCTGGAGCTGTACTGTTAGGAGTGACTGCCTAGCAAACTCAAGGGAAAAATACATACAAAAAAAAAACTTGGCAGTTACTTCATATCTTTCAACTTGCTAATTTTTTCATCCTCTTCATATGTGTGTGTATGTGAGAGAGAGACAGAGAGAGAGAAAGACAGAGAGAGAGGCTGGAGATCAAGCCCAGGTCCTATGCAAACTAGGCAAGCCCTCTACCATTGAGCTGTCTTCCCAGCCTTAGTGATCATCTCTTCCATGTCTCTCGAGATACCATGCACCACTGAACAGTTGAAGACTGGGAAGAAACAGGTTCTTGTTACTATGACATCAGTCAAGAACAGGATGATGCACGCTGGGTGGGGAGTTTTTCATCTGGAACACCTGGGCCACTCGTGGCACCCTTACCCTTGTTGACTTCTCTCACTGTGCTGTGCTCTGGGCCCTTTGGCAGGATACAGAAGAGTGGGTAGAAGAGCCCACAATCCTGGTGTTGCTCACGGCAGAGACTTTTGAGTCTTTGGTTTACAACTTAAAGCAGGTGGGCAGGGCCAGAGGGATAGGGCTGGGCATGGAACTATGCCCACCTCTTACTGGGGAGCAAGTGGTAATACCCTTTCTGCCCCTCCGTGCAGGGAACTCCCAACAGCGCTGAGAAAGAGAAGGAAACCCTTCGTGGCTTCATAACTGACATCACAGCAAGGACAGTAGGAAAAGCACTGTCACTGGTGATTGTAGACCAGGAGAAGTGCTTCAGGTTTGAACTTCCTCTGACATTTAGGTGCTAAAGGGACAGCTTTTGAGTCAACAAGAGTGAGTTTATTCACCCCAGCTACTAATCTTCTGCAAGACAGCAACCCTGACAAGTCCTGTGGGATATACTGAACCACTCTTGTGCCTCTTCTGTCCAAGCTCAGCCTGAAGCTTCTGTCCTTTGCTTTATCTCTCCTGCTCCAGTACTCAGAAACCACCAAGGAAAAGGATACAGGGAGTAGCAAATAAACAGACCAAAGAAAAGAAGCAACAGAGACGAGAGGCCAGCACAAAGCCCATGGTGTCCAGGGTAGACATAGAAGAGGTAAGAACTTCCTTTGGCCTGAGTCTTTTGGGTGCACACTGGTCATTTAACCAGATTTCCTACTGAGTCAGAATAAAATGCCCTCTAGAAGCAGCTTGCTTCTGTGTTGAACCTGAATAGAAGGGACCAAACAGGAAGCTGAGAATTTGGGGTGAAGCCACAGTGGACAGTGAACTAGTCTCTACTTTTCTAACCCATTGTTGCCTCGGGGTTTCTAGGCATTGGTGGATCTGCAACTCTACACAGAAGCCCAGGCTCGGATTGTACAGAGTTGGAAAGAGCTATCTGACTTGGCCTGCACGTTCACAAAAGCTGTGGCTGAGGCGCCATTCAAGTGAGTGTCCCAGTATGACCAGCCTCTGTGCTGGGTCTGGTCTTTTCCCCTGGTTCTTTCAGACAAAGAAAATGACCCGTTCTCCTAAATTCTGCAGCTAGCCCATTGCCTCTTTGGAGGTAGGAGCTAATGTTATGGTGAGGCTATCTGGAAGAACACTTAAGTCCTGTCCCTTTGAAACATTCTCTTATGTGCAGGTATGCATTCTGTAGGTGATGCCTTGTTACCAGGATTCTCTATTGGTTAGATCGCTAATAAGCCCTAGCAAGGCAAAACTGTAGTCTACTTAGTTCAAGGAGTTTTCCTAGTCTGAATTTAAAGTTAAGAGCCCTCAGAGACAGTCTTCTTCAAGTCCCATATTTTATATGTGAAACTGGAAGAGACTGAGAGGTCTAGGCTCTAATTAGCAAGTGTGGACCAGAAAACTCCAAATCACCGGATACCCAGTCCCTTGAGCAATACCACTCTCAACATAAGCAAAAGAATCTGGTACCTTCTAATGAAGGACAAGATAATACCTGACCATTCAGTTGTTTCTGTGGTGCTGGGGATGGAACCCATGGCTTTGTGCCTGCTAAGCAAGCCATCTACCATTGTGCAACACCCTCAGCCCAAGTTTATGTGTATGTATGTGTGCTAGTCCTGTGGTTTGAACTCAGAGCCTGGGCCCTGCCCCTGAGCTTTTTAGCTCAAGGCTAGTGCTTTGCCACTTGGGCCGCAGCTCCACTTCTGGCTTCTTGGTGCTTAATTGGAGATGAGTCTCATGACTTTCCTTCCTGGCCTGGCTACTCAGCCCCCTGAGTAGCTAGGATTATAGGCATGACCAGTGCCCTGCTCAAGATGTCATTTTTAAGGCAGTTGTAACTAACAATGTACTTGGCTAAAAAGTAATAAATCACTCAAGACTCAAATTGGCTAGACCTAACTATAGGCTTTTCAATCTCCAGTTGAGGAGACAATTGTCAAGAGTAACAAATAACCTAGTTTACCTGGGCTGTTTGCAGGAAGCTTAGAGATCAAACTAGCTTCTCCTTCTGCCTGGAGAGCGACTGGGCTGGAGGGGTGAAGGTGGACCGTGCTGGCAGAGGACTCACACTGGTCTGGAGGAGGCAGATTCAGCAGCTGAACCGAGTCAGCCTGGAAATGGCCAGTGCCATTGTAGATGCTTATCCATCCCCACGGCTCCTGGTGCAGGTATGCTGCTTTAGGGGTCGCCACCCCCCAGCTTCTTTTGTATTCAGTAGGACCAGATGACTTCATGTTGTTGAGGGCCCAAGAATGTCTTGAAGGTGAGCAGTATGTGTTGGACAACTTGGGTGGGGAGAATAGGTTTTCATCCCAAGCATGCCAACTTCCTGGTTCATGGACAAGTGATGACCATGGATGGTGTAGTATAAAGAAATCATTTACCATTTTCAGGCTTATCAGCGGTGTTGTTCAGATCAAGAACGCCAGAATCTGCTGGCAGATATCCAGGTGCGCCGTGGGGAAGGTGTGACTTCCACCTCCCGCCGTGTTGGGCCAGAGCTGTCCCGGCGCATCTACCTTCAGATGACCACTCTACAGCCAGACCTCTCCTTAGACAGTACTGATTGATGCTAGCCCACCCGGACAGGAGGAAGGCTGGAGCTCTGCCCCTCCAGCCTGGAAACCCAACAGCAATGGACCTGAAGAACCTGCTGGGCACAAGCCTGGGTGATACCTGGTGTTTTCTTCACCAGTTCTGTTCCTCTTCTAGCAAAAATCAGTGCCATGGACAAACCATCCTGCCCACCCAGCTCTCAAAACACAAAAGGGCAAAGACAGACCACTCAGACGTAGATTTAATAATTGTAGAAATCCAAAACAATCAGCATCAAATCTCAAAAGTCAGAGTGAACTCTCACCTGCAGGTTGGCCTGACTAGGTTCAGCCACTGAGCTGCCTCAACCAGCCAAGGAACTATGACACTAGGATGAATTCTGCATTATCGTATCTCATCATATGTACTACGTGTTTAGTTTTAATAAAGCATTTGTATCAATGGCTCTGGAGCTTAGAGTAAGACTAAAAGAATGTGTAGTGATTCTGAGAAAGGTACAGACCTACGTGGCAGAGCTATGGTTGCAGGAGGAGAGAACAAAGTCCTTTCTTCCAGTATCAGACAGTTGTCATAGCAGACCAATCCAGATGGGCCATTAGGGCTAAAAGCTGGACCCTGCCCTCTGTCTTAACTGACAGGTCCTTACTTTCTCCAGGGAGGAGCTTGAAACTGGGAGTTTCTAGCAATGAGCACCGAGACATGGTCACTTCTGATCCCTTCATCCAGCTATTGTGGCAAGAGAATGCTTAATGTAGCAGCCAGGAGAATAGGCAGCTACCTCATTTGTGCTACTCTTCAGTTATGCAGTACTTTTCTGCTTCATGAGTTACTGTTTCATTCCTTCCTTTCTGTTGCAGATCTAGGACTGAGCAGTTCTAAATCTGTTTCTATGAAATTGCATTTTCAGGCTGCCTTTGAGGTATTTAGTCACACCAAGTAAGATGGCGTGGTCACAAGCAATGCAGCTTTGCAGAGACCTGCCTCCTTACTAACTGGCAATCAGGGAGTTAATGCTCTAAGACTGAGACAAGGAGCCAGGCCAGCTGCCATTTTGTAAAGCCACAAAGTTTGTGGCAGGATGCCACAGAAGCGGCCCAAGACCCTGATCTGACAGCAGGAGATCTCTGTGTCATGCATCTGTCTACTGATTCTATATATTGGCTAAAACATAATTCTGATGTGAATTCTGTTCTTATGGATACAAAGGAGGTCAAATGGCAGGGAGGAAGGAAAGAACACAGGAGTAGGAGTTGGGTTCTGCCTCAGTCTAGCTGAGGAGACCACAGGCAAGTCAGGGAAGGCCTCAGTTTCTCTGCCTGCAAGTGTTACATGGAACTAACAGTGAAGTCCTTTTCATAGCCAGATTTTTGTATGGCAGCTAAAATGCTTGAATGTCTGAGGTCCTAACTGGTATCCCCCAATTTAGGTTGGGTTTGCTAATATGTTCCTCTTGTCCCCAGTAACACACTGCTTCCTGATCTGCCCTAGTAAACCCAGGAAAATGAAAGAGTCTGTGACATACAAAAGTATAAATGACAGCTGACCACTGAGTAGAAATAAACCTTGCCTTTACACAGCTTAGTATACCTACAAACCGTTCTGTTTTCTCCCCAGCACTAAGCCTATTCCTTTAGGCATGCAGGTAACTGTCCCTTCCCACCTCCCATTTCTCCTCATTCCACCAGAGAATCCTGACTAAGGAATAAAGGAGTCTTACACAGGGCAGGTGCCACTCAGCAGCCATTGGGTGATGGCAGGTAGGTCTGATGCTAAAAAGAGGCTGTGTCCAGCAGAACCCAATTCCAGAGGAATCCAAGCTCCAAGGCCAGGAGGCAGCAGGTGTGGAGGACAAGCTCACTGCTGGGAGTCGGTCTGGAGGACCCACTGCAGGATCTCATGGCGGCGCAGGCCCTGGACAGCATTGTCGTAGATGGTGTTTACACTGGTGCAGAGGGGCTGCTGCTGCAGCCCTGTCACCCGGCATGCAACTACCCCACCTGCCACACACAGCAGCAGCAGCAGTAGCAGCAGCTTCAGCACTGCCCAGGACCGAGTATGCTTCCGGGGTGGTGGTTTGCGGGGGCGGGACCCAGACTTAGATTCTAGAGAGAGAGAAAGTCAAAGTTGGCAAAACAAATTGGATCCATTTGAGAAAACTATAATCTACGTCTCTTCTACATGACCTACTTCCCCTCCTCAAGCTCTAAACAAAAAATTGCTTTAGGAATGTCAGAGCTCTTAAAACTTTACTTTCCCAGAGACTGAAACAATCTCTCCAAGGTCTCAAGGGACTGTATTTGAAATGGAAACTCATTTTCCATGTCTACTGTAGCTCAGTCTCCAGGGTCTTAAGTTTTTCTTGGTAACAAGGATGATCTGGATCCCTCAGGACTGAAGCAAGAGGAGTTTATCAGAAGCATATAACAAGGACAGACTGCTGCCTACTGGGGAAACGGCCCAGCTTTACTAATATCATAAACATCATCTATTATATATATAAAAAGAAAACTTGGCCAAGTGTGGTAGCATTATAACTAATTATTCCCAGCAATTGGGAGGCAGAGGTAAAGTGATTGTTGAGTTCAACGGCCTCCTCCAAAGAAAAACAAACCTTGAAGTTAATATATCACATTGTAAACATCAATTATTACTGGGAATGGAGGACACGTAACTAATACTAGGATACATGATACATGTATTTTAAATCCTTTGCAATAAACATAGACTGGGTTTATAATCAAAAAGTTTTGAGGGTTTTTTTTTTTTGTTGGTTGTGGGATTTGAACTCCGAGCCTGGGCTCTTTTGCTCAAGGTTAGCACTCTACCACTTTGAACCATGGCTCCACTTTTGGTTTTCTGATGGTTGGAGATGAGTCTCATGGACTTTACTGCCCAGTCTGGCTTTGAACTGCAATCTCAGCCTCCTGAGTAGCTAGGATTACAGGTGTGAGCCGCCAGCACCTGGCTAAGTTTTTTTTGTTGTTTTTTTTTTCTTGGAGGGGGGGGCCCTAGTTGTGGGGCCTGAACTCTGGGCCTGGGCACTGTCCCTCAGCTCTTCAGCTCAAGGCAAGTGCTCTACCACTTGAGCCACAGTTCTACTTCTGGCTTTTTTCTTTTTGCTTATGTGGTGCTGAGGAATCAAACCCAGGGCCTCATGCATGCAAGGCAAGTGCTCTACCAATGATCCACCTTTCCAGCCCCTGGCTAAGTTCTGAGATTTTTAAGCAAAATTCTTTAAAACTTGACAACACCTACAATGCTAAGAACAACATGATCCTGTTTTCTCTTAATTCTAACCCTATACTAAAATCAGGCATAATTCCCATTTTCAACAAGAAAATTAAAAAGGTGACTTAATCAAAGCAAGGATGAACAAGCCTCCACCTTTGGCAAGAAGCTTCTTCCCTTTCTCTCCTATCTGTACTCTTCAGAGATCCCTTCTGATCCAGAGTATATGATTCTAAAATACAGAGGTAGGCACAATACTTAAATGTGCTTTTAGATCAGTGGCTTCCTGGATGCATGCCAAATGACTCCTCTGATGTTCGCAATTTCTTTCAACTTGGATAAAAGCACAGTACTACTGGCTTTATGTGAGACGACACCATCTACTTAAAAGTCCTATCCAGTCAAGCTGGGCACCAGTACCTCATGCCTGTTATCCTAGCTACTTAGGAGGCTGAGATCTGGGGACTGTGGTTTGAAGTCAGCCCAGGCAGGAAAGTCCATGAGATTGTTTATCAGTCATGGGGCTTGAACTCACCACCCGGGCAATGTACTTACTAAGCCCTTTCGCTCAAGGCTAGCATTCTATCACTTGAGCCATAGCTCTACTTCTGGTTTTATAGTGGTTTAATTGGAGATAAAAGAGTCATACAGCCAGGCGCTGGTGGCTCATGCCTGTAATCCTAGCTACTCAGGAGGCTGAGATCTAAGGATCGCGGTTCAAAGCCAGCCTGGGCAGGAGAGACCGTGAGACTCCTATCTCCAATAAACCACCAGAAAGCCGGAAGTGGCGCTGTAGCTCAAGTGGTAGAGCGCTCGCCTTGAGCTGAAGAGCTGAGGGACAGCCCCCAGGCCCAGAGTTTAAGCCCCACGACCAACAAAAAAAAAACAAAAAGAGTTATACAGACTTTCCTGTCCAAGTTGGCAATCCTCAGATCTCAGCCTCCTAAGTATCTAGGATTACAGCCGTGAGCCACCAGTGCCTGGCCACGAGATTCTTTTTTTGGGGGGTAGGCTAGTCATGGGGCCTGAACTCTGGGCCTGGGACTACTCAGCTCATATCATACTAAAATCTGAAAATCATGTTTCAAAGCCAGTTCAGGCAGGAAAGTGCTCACGACTCTTGTCTCTAACTTCCAAGAAAGCTCAAGTAGTAGAGTGCTAGCCTTGAGCAAAAAGTTCAGGGACAGTACCTGGGCCCCTGAGTTCAAGCCCCAGAACAGGCAGAAAAATAAAAGTCCCCCAGTCAGGTTACATACAATCTTAGCCTATCTCAGTGACTTCAGAACCTCATCCTACAGAAAGTTAGTTGAGATTCCCTGTTCTGTGAATGCTCTAAGACACAGCTTATAAAGACACAGGCCTAGAAGTGTGTAGGTACCAGCTTCCTCAGTAAATTCTCCATTCCCTGTAACTGCACTCTCAGGCCCTGCCAGGCTATCCCAGACCTGACAGTACAGTTTGTCTCGCTATGGTCTGTAGGCTCACTCACTCATCCATGCCTAAAAACTCAATGTGTGCTGCACTTCTGCTGGAACCTTGAAGAAAAGGGCAAACTCACTTGGAGCCTGATTTGTTTCCTTCTTGGGCTTCTTCTCTTGCTCCTTCTTAGATGTTTTAAGGGCATCATACTCTTTTCTCCGACGCTCCTTCTCTTCTGCCTTCTCCCGCTTCCTCAGTTCCCGTTCCTGAGCTTCCTTAGCTCGTTGCTTGGCTTCACGCTTCTTCTCTGCCTCTATAACAAAGCAGACCAGCACAAAACTCTTCTACAAACCCTCCGGCAGTTTGCTCAAGTGATTAAGTATGGATTCAGCTGCCTTTCTCCTTACACCATGGATCACACAAGAAAAGTAGAAAGCCCTGGGCATGGTGCAGCATGCCTAAAGTCTTAGCACTTAGCAGG